GTGACACAGGTATACATTCAGGCAACATACACATATACATAAAATAAAAATAATAAAAAATATTTTAAAAATAAATAAAATCTTGGCTGGGCATGGTGGTGCATGCCTTTAGTCCCAGCACTTGGGAGGCAAAGGCAGGCAGATCTTTGTGAGTCCAAGGCCAGCCTGGTCTACATAGTGAGTTCAGGTCAGCTGTGACTACAAGGAGACCCTGTCTCAAAAAGACAAAAAAATTTTTTTAATGGATCTAAAAATAAAAAGCAGGTAATATAACAATAGAGTTTATTTAACCCAATATCTCAAACATTATCATTTTAAAATATAATTGATATAAAAATTATTCCTGAAATACTCTACATTCTTTTCCCACATGAAGTCTTTGAAATCTGAGGCACATTTTTTTAAAGATTTATTTTTATTTGTACAAGTGTTTGAACTGTGGGCTGGAAGAGGGTGACAGAGCTGACATGTGGGTACTAGGAACTGAACCCAGGTCCTCTGAAAAACAGCAGGGCTCTTAACCCCTAAGCTACCTCTCCAGCCCCCTGAGGTACATTTTATACTCATGATACATCTCAAGTTCTATCCACTACACCTGGGCTGAATTTAGATTTGTTGGGTTATGTAACTAAATTGTTTCCAAGTGGTTTGACCACCTCATCTTAATAGAGGAGAGCATGGCCTGGCTTTCCAACTGAAAGTCTCACATCCTGACATCCACCATGGACTCAGGTAAACCAGAACAAGTAGCCAACCTCTTTCAATCATACGTGAACCCTTTCTAATGTCTCGATTGTGTATTAGCTTTTTAAATTTAAATGAATTAAAATGATGTCATTATATCAGTTGGTCATGGCAATAAGCTATGGGAGATGCCCTGTCTCAAAAAGCCAAAGGCTGGAGATGTGACTCGGTGGTACAGAGAATGCCTAGAATCTTCCAGTGAGAGGTTGGGGCATGGCTCAGTAGTAGAGCACCTGCCTAGAATCCCCCAGTGAGGGGCTAGGCTGTAGCTCGGTGGTAGGCCATGTGTTCAATCTCCAGCCCCAACAAGATCCAATATCTGAGTGTACACATGAACTCACCTACATGACTAAATCCTAAATTCTGGAAGCAACTTAACCCCTCCTTACCATGTGCAATTCCCTGTGCCCCTCTGGATTCTCACTGTTTTTGTTTTTTGTTTTTGTTTTTTCTTTTTGAGACAGGGTCTCCCTGTAGCCTCAGCTGTCCTGGAACTTGCTATGTAGACCAGGCTGACCTTGAACTCACAGAGAACTGCCTGCTGAGTGCTGGGATTAAAGGTGTGTGCCACCACACCCGGCTCTTGTTTCTCTTTTATGCTTGTCATGTCCTACAAAACTGATTTCACCATACACTTCCACGTCACAGCCTGAAGATTGAAAAATACTGACTTGGCCCATTCTGAGCAGAAGTCAGAAAACTAGCCAGACCCTGACTGGAGCCTTATTTTGTTATATCACCTGGTTGTTTTCAAGGCACTAGTCCTTTCTCCTGTACAGTTCTGACTGGCTGATACCCAACTATCCTAACCTTAAACTATGTTGCCTGCCGGGGTCCTGAATGCACTTTGTGGGAGGGGAAGAAGTGTTTCACCACGCAGCCCAGCTGTATAGCAGAGGATGACCTTGAATTCCTAATCCTCCTGACTGCTGCCTCTTAAGTGCTAGGATGACAGGCATATGCCAGCAAGCCTGCCTCCTGAATGCATTTCTCTCTGATCCTCCTAGATCTGTGGATCTCATTCCAAAGACATAAATGCATGCCTTTATGTGTCCCCAGATGGTACATGAGTCCCTCACACACCAGGGACTACTGTAAACACTGGAGATACAGGAGAAAAAACCAGAAATTATTGCCTTTTACTTTTATTACAATTATTTATTGGAGCAGGGAGTATATGCACAACGGAGTGCATGTGGAGTCAGACGACAACCTGCAGGAGTTGTTCTCTCCTTCCACTATGTGGGTCCCAGGGATTGAGCTCAGGTTGTCAAACTTGGCAGCCATTTCGCCAGCCCCCAAAATCATTGCCTTTATGGAGCTAAGATTTTAGAGAGAATCAGACAGCTTCTTTATTCTATTCATTTTTTTAGTTGGTTGGTTTTGGTTTTTCAAAACAGGTTCTCACCATATAAGCCCAAGCTGGCCTTAAACTCATTATGAAGCACAGGTTAGTCTCTGACTGACAGCAATCTCCTGCCTCAACCTCCCTCATCCTAGAATTACAAATGTATGCCATCATGCCCAATATTTTACTCTATTCTGTTATTTTCTTCTATTCTATTCTTCTTTATTTCATTTCATTTATTTTATTTTATTATTTATTTTTTATTTGAAGTAGTAGAGATCAAACTCAGGACTTCCAAATGTTAAGCAAGCACTAACACTGAGCTACATCCCCAGTCCTAAATATAGTCTTTATCACTGGGTGGCCCATCAGGAATGGTGATGAATATCTGCAATCCAAGAATTTGGAAGGCAGAAGCAGGAAAATTAGGAGTTTGAGGCCAGCCTTAGCTACATAGAGTTGGAGGCCAGCCTGAGCTACATCAGACCCTTTCCTCAAAAATGCAGAAAATAAGCTGGGCATGGTGGCACATGCCGTTAATTCCAGACTTGGGAACCAGAGGCAGGTGGAGCTCTGTGAAATCAAGGACAGCCTGATCTATATAGAGAGTTCTAGGCCAGCTGGGGCTACAGGGAGACCCTGTCTCAAAAAAACAAAATCATGGAAAATAAAAATAAGGGCTCTGGCTATGGCTCAGCAGTTAAGAGTGCTTGCTGCTCTTCCAGATAACCCGAGTTCAGTTCCTAGGACCCAAGTCAGGCATCTCATAACCACCTGTAACTCTAGCTCCAGAGGGTCCAATGCCTTCTTCTGGCCTTCATAGGCACTTACACTCAGGTTCACATATTTATATACAAATAGACACATTAATATATTTTCAAAAAAGAAATTGATGGACATGATAGTGCATGTCTTTAATCTTAGCACTTGGGAGGCACAGACAAGTGGATCTCCATGAGTTCAAGGCCAGCCAGCCAGAACTACAGTAGAGAGACCCTGTCTTAAAAGAATAAAAAATAAAAAAAATAAAAAGCCAGGCATGGTGGCACATACTTTTAGTCCCAGCACTTGGGAGGCTGCAGGGAGACCCTGTCTCAAAAAAGACCAGAGAGAGAGAGAGAGAGAGAGAGAGAGAGAGGAAGAAAAAGAAGAAAGGAAGGCTGAATGTGGCTCAGTTGATACGGTACTTGCCCAGTATGCATGAAGCCCTGGGTTCTAGCCCAGATAGGCATAAACCAGATATGGTGGTACATACCTGTAAATCCAACACTCAGGAGATGGAGACAGGAGGATCAGAAGTTCAGGGTCATTCTCAACTACATAAAAAGTAGTTTCTTAGGACAGTCTGAGATATATGAGACTGTCTCAAAAATAAAAATAGAGGGGGCTCAGTTTTTAGAAATTTTATGTATATGTGTGTTTTGCCTGCATGTATGGAAGTGCACCAGTGTTGTGCAATACCTGTGGAGGCCAGAACAGGCATCAGATCCTCTGGACTGGAGTTACTGATGGTTGTAAGCTGCCAGTATGTGTTGGGAACCCAAAAGTCCTCTGCAAGAGCAACATGTGCTCTTAACTGCTGAATCATGTCTCTAGCCCCCAATTCTTTTTTGAAAATCTTTTTTGTGGGGTGCGTGCGTGCGTGTGTGTGTGTGTGTGTGTGTGTGTGTGTGTATGCTCCTGCCATGGCTGACCGTCTGGCAGTCATAGGACAACCTGCAGGGAGTAGGTCCTCGCCTTCCACATTGTGGGTCTAGGGAATCGAACTCAGGTTTGGCATCAAAGGGCCTTTATCCGCTGAGCCATTTTGCCGACCCAATTCTTTAGTGAAAATAAAGCAGTAAGGACATGGGCTGGCTCTAAGACCTACCCAAGATTAGGGGTTTCACACCCCTTTGTGGGAACCAGGAAGATATGTCCTTATCTAATAAGAAGAGGGCTGAGAATGCACCAGAGAACAGCCAGGATCCCGCCTCTCAACTCCAAAGAAAAAGAGAATTCCCAGCCTGTCTTAGCTGGTAGACTTGGCCTATCTCGTTCCCAAAGTACCTTGCCAAAGGGCAAAAACACCAGTCAGTAACTTTAACCTAGAAATTTTCAAAACCTAGTCAGCCATGAAAGAGGGGTGGGAAACATTTGTGGAACAGGGTCCCCGACAGCATGCAACCCTAAGGGTGGAGAGGCTAAGGATGAATCCCGTGGGTATTGAGGCTCCCCCTCCCCCGCGGAATCCACAAGCACTTAACCAGCTTTGCACCTATGATCCCGGCGACCCGGGTCCTGCCTTATCTCTCTCCTCGCTCACATTTTCCGCTGCATCAAAGCCAGAGTACCGTGGGGGTTTTCACGCTTCCGTGCGTTTGGACACCGTGTTCCTTCTGCCTGGAAGGCCGCGCCGCTCTCCCTCTGCGCCCCCTCCCCCTTTCACCCTTCAGCACCCAGCCTGCCTGTCCCCTTCCCCCAAGGAACCCATCACCCCTCCTCTCTGTCCCCCACCCTCCTTTTTGCTTCCCTGTACTACAATCACCAATTCCTCTAAATCTCTGCCCTGGCAGGCTCAGGCCTTCTCCAAAGCTGGAGTTGTTTGGAGAAGGCGGGGGGGGGGGGGGGGGGGGTTGCTTGTTTGACACCCCAAAGAAAGCACGTAACACCGAGTTGGAGCGATGACAAAGCATGTGCGGAAGCTCAGATTGGCTCCAAATTCCCCTATGTGTCCCCCCGGGCTCCTCTTGTCCCCGGGGAACCCCGAATTCTTGCATTCCGGGTGCACCCGTGGTACAGCAGCCCAGCCCCCTTAGCTTGACATCAGCAAACCCGAGTCGCCCAGGGCGGGGGGAAGGGCCATGGACTACACGTCCCGAGAGGCAACGCGCGGCCCCGTAGCCGGCGCTTGCGCAGAACCCGCCCGGCGTTTGAGTGGCAAGTTGTTTGTTACAGCGAACACCAGCTGCTGCTGAGCCCGGCGCCGCGCGCTGCTCGTTAGTCCACCCGCGACTCCCTGCACTCCGCAGTTCTCCACATTTTTTTTTTGTAACTTGCCAAGCCTCCTTCTTTTCTGGATCACATCCGGATCAGCCCGGCACCGAGCTCCGGGCCCCCTCCCCCGGGCCGGTTGCCCCACGGCTTGGGGCGCGCAGGGGGCGGGGGCCGCGGCTCGTCTCCGTGTCCCCCCCGCCCCCCGCAACCAAGCTCCGGCCACCGCGGATGATCCGCTGTGCAGGAGCTCCGCGCGGACGATGGAACTGCATATTCTGGAGCACCGGCTGCAAGTTGCCAGCGTCGCCAAGGAGAGTATCCCACTCTTCACCTATGGCCTCATCAAACTTGCCTTCCTGTCCTCAAAGACCAGGTGAGAGAGAGAGAGCAAGAAAGAGAGAACGAACGTGGTGGTGGGGGACGCGTGGAACCGGCCGGGGACAGACAAAGAGGCGCACCCCAGGGGGGCGCAGTGCAAAACAACTTCATCCCCCCCACACACCCCAGGATCCCTGACATCCTCCTGCCTCAGACAAAGCCACCCCTGTGTGCTCCATCTGAGGGTCCCCCCTCCACTCAGATCACCCCACCCCACTGCGCCCGCCAACCGTTGTCACCAACATCCAATCACCCCCCCACCCAATTTCAATCCTCTCTTGGAAATCCCAAGCAGCCCCCCCCCATGGTCTCCGTGATGAATTCGTGAATGAATGAATGAATGAATGAATGAACGAATGAATGAATGAAAAATAGGTGTGGGGATCCGGAGGTGGAAATTAACAAACTAAACACGCCCCATCCCCCATCTATCCGCCACCCCTCCCCTCCTCCCGGTTGGGCCGGCCCCCCTTGTCGCCACTGGCAAGCGGGGAGGGGTGGCGCTGAGCTTGGCTACCCCAGAACAGAAAAATCATAAAATCATTAATAGATGTTCCTCCCCAAGTGCCTGCGAGGGGGTGGGGTGTGCAGTCGGCGGGGGAGGGGCTGCAGGGCCCGGGTCGCCTCGATTCTTTTCTCTTTGGGGGGGTCCAGGGAAGTGGGAGGGAGGGGGGATTTTGAACCGTGGAAGGGGAGGAGCAGGGGTGTTTAGGGATCTGCCTGGAGGCTGGACTTGCAGTGTTGCAGAAGGAAAATAGTGGAAGGTATTAGAAGGTAAGAGGAAAAAGAAAAACAGATTTATTTATTTAATTTTTCAAACCTTAGGTTTTTCCCAGTATTAGGTATGGATTTGACTTTATCAAAGCCTATTGGTTATTTGTGTTAGAGTCCGTTTAATGTTTTCTCTCTCTTTTTTTGTCCCCCAGTGTAGTGGGAATTGGAGCAAGCTTCTATTACCTTGAGCCCCTCTTTTCCCTACCATTGTGACTGGTCTGGTTTTAGGGGGTTTAGGGCAGAGGTTGTTTTATTTCTTTGAAATGAATGAGTGCATTACTGGTCAAGATTGAGTTAAATTGATAGTGAACACCAAACACTGTCCCCTCCCCCCTGCCCTGTCCCCTATGGAGGTGGTGAGCTCAGGGGACACAGAGCCTGTTAAAGTTCTTGCTTAGGAACCTGACTTTTAATGTTGAGTTCAGTCCCTGCTATTGTTTGCAAGATGAAGCAAGCAGCTAGCTCTGTGAATCTTGTTTACTCTCTTCTTTTGTCATATCTATGGAGACCTGAGGTTTTGAAGCCTTGCCTCCCTGGCCGGGGAAGAGCCCCTTGCTCCTTAGATGGCCACAGGTAAATCATTAAACAGTCATTTAAAAACAAAGCTAACAGCTCAAATTCTGAATCTCTCTCTCCTCTCTCTCTCTCTCTCTCTCTCTCTCTCTCTCTCTCTCACACACACACACACACACACACACACACACACACACAGCTGTAAATAGCCCCTCTCTGTCAACACCTTTGGACTGCTACTTCCACTTGCCCTCTCCCTCCCACCCCCAGGCAATTCCCAAGATCTCAAGACTAGAGACTATAGAATTGGCCTTGTTTTTCCAGCCTCTGCCACCCCCACCCCCCAGACCCCTGGTTCATTTCTTTCTCAGGGTGAGTCAAGACTGGCTGAAGAGGAGAGGACTTTTAGGGGGACAGGAAAAGGTAGACTTGGTCTGTCCTCTATGTCTTAGATGAAGGGACTTTTTCAAGTACACCCACCCACCACCTTCCTTCTCTCCCTGTCTAAGGTGAAGGTCTCAAATTGAGGCCAAGGCACACATTCATTTTGGCCTACCTGACCACAGGAAAGCTTGTCCCCTTGTGGGTAGGTCCTCCACTCCCTTCCCAGGCAGGCCCAAATGACCAGTCCAGACGCAAGATGACTCAGAGGTCAAAGGTCACCTCCTTGTCTCCAGGATCTGACTCTAGAAACAGCTGAGAACAGTTGGTCAAACGGCTACCCCATGCCCTCAGAGCCTAGGTGTGGCTTCATGCTGGAATCGGGCCCCAGTGGCCCGGGCCAGGTCACCGTCCCTGTCTCTCCCTTTGTCCCTCAGTGAAATGGACATAGCACAAAGTACTGGGGGTGGGTCATTTAATACAGAGAGAAATGACTCTGTTTCAAGTTAAAAGGGAATAGTAGTGTGTGGGTAATATTATTTATAACAATAAATCACACAGGTAGTCATTTCAGCTCTTTTTGACTGTCCTCCCAACCCCACCCACCCATCAAGGTGGTCTAGATTCCTGTTAGCATCCACCTATCCCAAACTGGTACAGCACCCCCTGAATATCTTTCTGTTTCAAATGTTTTAATCCCTGTTTCTATAGGGCCACATCTTTAGTGTGGTATTCAAGGCCCTTTGGGGAAACTGGATCCGGAATCCTTGTCTTTATCCATGCCCCCAGTAGATATACCAGTGATGCCCAGTGATGCACCTGCTTTTTCTTCTCACTGCTCAGTTTTCTGCCTGTACACCCTTCATCTTTGACTGGAATATATCCCCTCCACAGTCAATTCCACTTAAATCCTAAAGATCTAGTGACATCACACTGGAACCTCCCAAGTACTTCGCTGCCTCCACCTCCCCATAGACTTAGTCACTACCTCTCTTTCAGTGTCTCATTGAAGTAGAGCCTGCAGAGAGGAATGGCTTTGGGCAACACCCACTCAGTGCAGGGAACAGCTGGATCTAAGGGATATAGGGAGTCTCTCCCCATAGACACACACTCTGCAAAGTCAAGAGCCTGCTTGGTAGAAGAAAAGAAAAGAGGTGATCATCAGTGAAGACCTAAAGGCAGGAAACAGGAAAGAAATGGTCCAGCAGGGCGGAAGAAACAAGGCCTGGACCTGGAGAGATGCTCAGCAGTTAAGAGCACTTGCTGCTCTTGCAGATGAAATGAGTTTGGTTCCTAGCACCCATATCAGGCAGTTCACAGCTCCCTGTAACTCTAGCTCCAGGGGATCCAGCACCCTCTCTGGCCTCTGCAGGCATTGCATTCACATGCACATACATACACAGACACAAATACACAGAATTTTAAAAAATAAATCAAAAATAAAAAGAAGAAAGACTAGAGAGATTGCTCAGAAGAGCACTGGCTACTTTTGCAGAGGACCTGGGTTCAATTCACAGCACCCACATGGCTCCAGTTCCAGGGGACCTGACACCCTCTTCTGACCTCCACAGGCATAGCATGACACAGGTGCACTTACTACATAGATGCAGACAATATACTCATACATAGAAAATAAAAATAAATTTTTTTAAATGAATGAATGAGCCGGGCGTGGTGGCGCACACCTTTAATCCCAGCACTTGGGAGGCAGAGGCAGGTGGATCTCTGTGAGTTCAAGGCCAGCCTGGGTCTACAGGGAGACCCTATCTCAAAAAGACCAAAAAAAAAAGAATGAATGAATGAGAGAAAGGGAGGGAGGGAGGGGCTGGGGGACTGGCTAGGACAGTCTGGGAGCCTTCCTGAAGGAGCAGGGGGTTAGATTATATCAGTAGGAATTAGGCAGAAAAAGCTTGTAGTGCACAGGTAAATAATGTTTACCCCTGTGTATACAAGGAACAACAACTCAGTGATGTAGCTATTACAAACGAGGAATTTAGCACTCGGGGATTGACTTGCTTAAGGTCACATGATAAGTGATAGAGCCCTGATTTGAGTTTGTATCCTTGTGGCTTAAGCTCATTTTTTGCTAGCCTAGATTACAAAGGAGGCTCACATTCAGCAATGCCACCCAGGCCTTCTGTTTGCACTGAGCTGTTTGGAAAGATTAAAGAGCACAGAATCAAACCACTGGTCTTCGTGTATTCCCTCATGCCCCTCTTTCTTTTTTGTAGTACTGGATATTGGACACAGGCCCTTGTGTATGCAAGGCAAGCACTCTACCACTGAGCCACATCCCCAGCCCCTCACTGGGGGATTCTAGGCAGGTGCTCTACCACTGAGCCACACCCCAGCCCCTCACTGGGGGAGTCTAGGCAGGTGCTCTACCACTGAGCCACACCCCTTAACCCTTCACTGGGGGATTCTAGGCAGGTCCTCTACCACTGAGCCACACCCAAGCCCCTCACTGGGGGATTCTAGGCAGGTGCTCTACCACTGAGCCACACCCCCAGCCCCTCACTGGGAGATTCTAGGCAGGTACTCTACCACTGAGCCACAACCCCCAGCCCCTCACTGGGGGATTCTAGGCAAGGGATTTTCCAATGAGCTGTGTCTCTGTCACTTTTTATTTTTTATCTTGGTACAGGACTTCACTAAGTTACCCAGGCTGACCTTGAACTCACTCTGTAGCCTAGGCAGGCCTTGAACTCACGATTCTCCTGCCTCAACTTCCTAAGTGGCTGGGATGGCAGGCAGGCCTGGGCTACCACACTCAACGTCTGTTATCCTTCTGACTCCTTATTTCAACTACTCTCAGATGTATCTAGACTGCTCTGGGTGGAGAGCCAGAGCAGAGTGGCTGGGCCCAACTTCTGCCAGGTATGACTCTGCCTAGTGTCTTCCAGCCCAGATGTCCTCCTTGGAGATGCTGTCAAATCTCCAGCACTGTGTAGGATTCTGAAATCTCTCACACTGACAGTCTCTCACACTACTACACTTAGTAGTGTCTACAAAAGAGCTTGCCCAGGACAGGGGTGGGAAGCAGCCTGGTTCAAAATCCCAGCAGTTTCAAGCTGGGCCTGGTGGCACACACCTTTAATCCCAGCACTCTGGAGGCAGAGGCAGGTGGATCTCTGGAGAGCAAGGCCAGCTTGGTCTGCATATAGAATTCCAGGCAGTTCTAGAGTTCCTTATATAGACTAAACTGACCTCAAACTTAGTGACCCGTCTGACTCAGCCTTGTATATGCACATGCACACACACACACACACACACACATACACACACTCACACAAAAGTATAGTTTTTATCATGATGTATAATATGGTG